AGTATGACATTTTCAGAAATGTTTTCAGAGTTTTTGTTTGGGCCTAACCTCAGCATGGCACAAACAAGCTCAGTTCCTCAATTCACAGGCAAATTACAGGTAGAAAAGTCCCACATAGAAAAGACTTATTGCAGTGTCTGCTCCATCCTCCCAACAGCACAAGCTTGGATTTCCACTTCCCGGGGGGCAGACCTTCACAGCCACAGCTAACACAGCCCGTCTTGGTAGCTCTCCAGGGAGGGAAAGGCTAGCTGGGCAATCGCAGCAGAAATGCCCTAGGTAGAAAGCTGCTTTCTTCTCCAGCTCTGCCTCAGCTGCTCCGGCTAACCTCATTCCTGTTTAGAAGTTTCCCCTAGCTGTTGAGCTGGCAGGTTGGTAAGGGAACGTCAGTTCCTTCAGATGTCCCTGTACTGTCTGTTGCATATGTTGGGTCCCTGGTGGCCAGAAGACTGTAAACTCTCAGGAACCTTCATATGCTGGACGACTTAAGAATTCTTCGTCTTAATACGTATCACGAATCAGGACCCCAGCTGAAATTCCCCCTCCCCTGCTGCTGTGTCCAGGATGGACTCTTCTTTAGTTCTCAAAGCACCTGCACAAAGGAAGGTGCCCGTCAGGGAAACGGCTCTTCTGTGCCCTGGCCCTGAGCTCCCTGCACAGTCGGGGACAGGGCGGGTTGGAGCAGGAGCCGTGTGTAGTTGGCCCAAGTCACCCTTCGGAAGTGCCTCGCTTCCTTGCTTGTCTATCCAAGGCTGCCTTTCTTGCCAGAAACCTCGCTCAGCAGCTGGTGCTAAGCTTACTGCTTTGGGTTGGGAAGTTTGTTTTCAACGTTTACTCTGACACACAATTAATTAAATCTAACTCCCTCTATTTATTGCTCTCAAGAGAAATCATACTGGCTTGCATGCCCCAGCCTTTGAAGAGGCTTCCATTGTTTCAGCTACCGCTGCAGCCAAGAAAGGCTAAATCACGCTCTCGCTTAGTGTGGATGGGAGGGAGTTTGCCTGCCACCATGCCTCAGCATGCTTCGCAAGTGCCTGTACGTGTTTTTGAGCAAGAGATACATCACAGTGCATTTGATATCACAAGGTGACCGCTACCAGCAAGGTATCTGCTATGTAACCCATTGAGCGAGGTCAAAATTGAAATAGTTGAACTCTCTTTCACTGTCAACAAGGCAGGCTTGGAAGACAGGAAGGGAAATCTGAGAGAGGAAAAGCTGACATAGTTCAGGTATTAAAAAACAAAAAAAAAAAGAAGTAACCCGGGAGCCTGGTGCTACAGGCTTATTGCCAAATCCATCACTTCTCTTCCAAGAGCTTCACCTGCCTTCAGAGCAAAGATAAAGTTGGTTCGACCTGTGGTTTGTCAGGACCTGATTTAAAGGTGCACCTACATTTGTGAAGTGCCAATGTGGTAGCAGTTTGATGCCGGCAGCCCGTCTTGGTGCATTTGATGATGAGGTTGCAGGGCCCCTCTGGGTACAGACTCGAGAACAACTGCAAGGGCTTCAAAGCTTGGCTCCTCAGGGCCACAGATACCTGCACTGATCTTTACTCCCTTCACTGGCTTGGCTTACAAAGCAGAGGCTTTCCTCCGCCAGTTCCTGTTGATGGAAAACACCTGCTTGGCTCCAGCTGGATCTTTCTACTGCCCAGAAGCGTCTGAGTAAAGCCAAATCAAACAAGGGGCTGTGAAAGTTGGAGAAAGGAGGGCTTACCTGGAGGCACACAGCTGGTTCACTGCCAGTCCTCCTGCCTCCCTCGAGGAGTTTCTGTGGCACGGGTGACTTGGACAGGGCCGGGGGGTGCAACAGTCTTTGACGCGCTGCAGTGCAGTGGATTTGTCAGGGAGAACAGATACTATTTTTGCTCGGCCTCAAAAGGCTGAGCAGTGACCTGCAGTGGGTCAGGAGCTGATTGAACAAGCTAATAACTGCACAGCTTGAGGAGCAGGTGGACAGCTGTGGGCAATAGCCTCACCAGCATCATACATTTCAGGTAGAGCCCTGTGCCAGTCCTAGCTCTGCCCTGCCGCAGCGGAGTCCTGTCCCCTATGTAAACCATCCCCACCAGCTGATTGAGCCCTAGGGCCAGATTAAACACATGGCACCAGCTCACAGGTAAGAAGGGAACTGGAAAGGATCACCATGAGCCAAGTTGCCAGTAGCCCACGTCACTCCTAACTTTAAAACCATGATAAGCTCATACTAGCTTGTTCTAATTTGTCACTGCAGTTTATGGGTGAAAAACCTCTCCCACTTCCATCTCCAGAAGGGTGAAGTCCTTAACATTAGTCTCTAGAGTCTACCTAATCAATATTTCTCCTGTAATCTAATTACTAAAGTGAAGCAACACCAGCTGGTTAGTACAAGCCACTTAAGAGCATTAACAGGTTGCAGGTCTGAGCCTAAGGTCAGACTTTTCCAGCCTCTTTGACTTGCCAGTTTCCAGGAAATCTGCAGAGCCACAAAACAGATTTAAACTGACCGGCACCAGGCTTGCTCTTCTTTGGCCATAGCTTTGCCATACGCTGCTTTTATCTGCAGTGCTGATTTAAGAAATTCTCACCTCCTTCAACCCCTGCGCCCAGCCCTGACCGGAGTTAAAATTTTTAATTTCAGATCTTTTAGTTTTCTTTCAGAATATTTTTAACCAGTTGCTTTTACAGTGCAGCCCCACAAACACTTCTGTCAGATGACTGCGGGGGCTTATAGCACTGAAGCGAGAACAGTCAGGAGCAATTCATTAAGCCGCTCTCTGAAGTCACAGCCTCACTTACCTCTTACAGACCATAGCTTGAAAAAACATTGCCCTAAACTCATGGCTTGCTTCAAGCTGTCTCCACCTTCAGAGGCAGCACTTGTTGCTGAGTAACCGCAGGTTGGACAGACCGGGACAGTATTCAAGGACTTATCAGAGACCTCTAAGGGAACAGCTCTTCTTGCTAGGCTGTACTTGCCTACCTCGTGTCAAAACACAAGCCTTTTGGTTAGAATTTAGAAACTTCTCAGGGCTTTCATATGTTAATTGCATTCTCATGGGATTATTTCTTAAATAGAAACTTCTTAAGCAGCCCATAGGCATTCAGAGCAGAATGAATCCATCCCTTTAGTCAGCTAGGTGCCTCACTTGAGGCATTAGAGCAGCCCTGCTGAGATCAGTGGGCAGATGCACATGGGGAAGAGCCCTGCAAAACTGAAAGGCCGGACTTTTTCCCAACTGTCAGGCATCCACTAAGGCAAAACAACTAGGAACATATCTAACAGCTTATTTACTGACAACTTGTTCGGAGGTGCTCACTCTTCTACTGTAAGTTACATTTACGTATGCAAAAGTCTTGCAAAGTCTAGAACTGTGGTTTAGGGCAAAACAGCCTAAAAACAACAGCAATAACAAAAACCCACCCCTATCTCTGTTAAAAACAACAAAAAAAAAACAAACAAAAAACCAAAATAGGGCAGGGAGCGAGAGAGGGAAGTAGCAGTGGTGATTTTCTCTTTTGCAGTCAGCTAGACAAGTAGAGACTGCTAGCATCGAGTTCTATGGTTATTACCCAATAGCTCCAGTATCAGATTGGCTTGCTTCAAGGCTGAGCACTTAACACTGTTGTGCTGCGAGAATCCTTCCTCTGCAAACACAGTTGTGCTGTTCCAGTCTGAAATGCAGACCTACGTGTAAAATGGGGATGAGACAGTTGTTTGCCAAACGGCTACCTGCAAATAGCAAAGCCAAGATTCGTATGTGAGGAAACTTTGCTTCAGATTGTTTCCAAATAGCAGCGTAAAGTACTGGAAGCACAAATAAATCTTGCTTTTTGGTCCTATCTGTCAGCAAGAGCTGCATTTGTTCCCAGTGGAAAAGGCCGAAAGAACAGCAGCAAACTGCAAAACAACTCCAGCATATGACCATACAAATAATCGTAACTAAAAAACACCCTGGGAGCCTTTACCTTGCTCCTGAGAAGCTAGTGGGAGTTTGCCATCAAATTTCTACAAAAAAATATGACCCCTTCTTTCACTTAAAGCACTCTGGGAGATACTAAAATATACTCCACACGTTATCCCCTTCTTCCCTGTCCCCCTGCAATTAGTTTACACGGGCAAGACAGGCCATACAAAACCGATTCCTGGGCTTTTAACATAGGCATAGTAAACAGCCAGCAAATGACAGCATCACTTTTCTATAATGATATCATGGGTAAAACCAAAAGATACTACATTAGATCTCTCTAACTGAATAAATAAACCAGAGTAGCAAGCAACATGTGTCAAATGTGGATCTGTGACCAAGGGAACTGGCCCTTGCTACTGGGAGTATAGGACCGTCAAATTCACATTACACAAGGGAAAACAGGATTCCAGTATTAAGGCCACTTACTGGAATTGAGAGTAAATCACAGCAGTACTTAACTGTAGCACACCTATCACCAGTCCTTAGGACGAAAATCTCATCTCCATTTCCAAAACCTTCTGAAGCATAGTATGAAAGGTGTGCAGGCCTACTTCCCCAGCTTTGCTGTTAGGCAAGTCTTGCAGTATCTGAGGTATACTGAGGTGCACTGCCATCTCTTGTTTAGATGGTGCAACAGAAAAGCACAGGCAGCAGCAAGACTTGCTCTACCAGGCTGTAGGTAGCAAGTCCTCCAAGTGCTGATTATAACTATATATGCCAATACAATATATCCACTGGAGGAAAAACAAGAAGGTGCTTTTACGGTGCCCTCCCAGTCACCTCACTAGCATGAACAATTAGCTAGCAATGAATTTGCTTTTAGCCTGGAGAATGTGTTTACAAGCTACACATGAGGGCATTTCTGCACTGTGAGAAGGAAGACTGCCCCTCAGAAAAGATGACTACTAACTACTACCTACCACGGGGCACACTGCCACCACCACAAGCCCTCACTTAGAGCTAACCCAGGTCTGTGTAATCTAGATTTAGACTGCGGTAAATAGGCAATGGGTGCAAGTCACAAACCCAAAACAGACACTTACGTATTTTTATGTTTATTATTTCAAAGTACAATATATACATAATGTATAGTGATGTCTTCCAAAACTTTATACAGGAACAAGTATCTACAAAATTAATTAATAGACGTTTGCATATATTCAGACAACATACATACATATATTTGGAAGAGTCAACATAGTTTCACTGTCAGAACACAAAAGCAGGAAGTAAAGGAAACCCATCCACCTTGAAAAAAGCTCTAGATACCACCCTCCTCCCTCTGTAACTCAGCAATTTGCCTTTTGAAAGGTTTCAGGTTGTTTTGGAGGCATGGTAAACCGGACTCCTAGTGCCACCTACTGTTAATGTTTATCATTACAGTTGTTTAGCTAAGAGTTACATGACATTCCTACAGGATGCACCAGGCCTTGTTCTCTGGACCGCTGGGACTTGATCCCAGCTCTCTGTAGCATACCAGCACTCTGCTTTAAACTCAATTCAGTGGGAGCCAGAGATCTGATTTTTCTAGTAATAAACTAAATATTTTAAATGAAGATTTTTCAGAAAAAGTAATTTAAAACATGTTTTAACAGTTAGAGATTATTGCAGGTGTTGCCAAGAACAGATGAAGATGATGAGAACATCTCTGACAAGCATAAGCTGATCCCCACTGCTTTTGGGAAATGAAAAATATTGCACAAGTTTATGTGGCAGAAAACTAGTAATTTTTATGGCACAAAATGGTACCCTTCAGTTAAGAAGGTCTGGCTTAAGACAACTTCAGTGCTGGATTTTACAGAGGGTGGAAAAGCATTGGTAGCTTTTCCGTAGGGCCTCTAAGAACATCAGGATGTGGGATGTTTGCATTAAAAAGAGCACCCTGAGGATTTAAGAAACAGACATAGGATACCTGCCTGTAGGATACAACTAGCTACAAGCTCGGCATTTTCAAAAAAAGGCCTGTGGCAATTAGTTATCTAATGGACACTGAATTTCAGTGGCACATAGGTAGCTAACTGCTCCAGGCTGTTTTTAAAATACTAGTTTATCTGAGGACAATTTTCAATCTAATAGTCATAACATAATGATAAGAAGTTTCCAAAATAAGGGCAAGTGAAATGAGATTGCTGCACAAGCCTTGCATCCACTCTAAAACCATCCCTCAGAAACACAGTAGCCTGTTCTCCATTACACAGCTTTCCACAGAAAGTATCCTTGCTACATACACCAACAATATTAGATTCCTGACACTTAATCTAGCCCATGGAAAAAGGCAGGTGGCTTGGCAGCAACATTTATATGGATAATACAGCATTCCCTCTCAGGAATGAGCAACACGGCTAAGCAAAGTTGCTAACTGACCCCGTCACGTGCTCAAATTTCTGAGCTTACTCTAGCCATTTGCCAGTGTGCAAACTAGAATGAAATTTCCATCTTCAACAGGTGTGTTCAAGATGAAGCATCTAGAAGAAAACCTTGGTCCATATAAATACAGTATGCAATAAACAGTGACTTCTTCGGGCTGCTTTGTGTGTCTCCATAACCAAGAAAAAAGTCTGAAAAGTTACCTAGCGTTACAGAGAGGAAGCAACATTTTCAGTAGGGCAGGAGGACAACTAACTAGGTTTCTCAAATAACTTAAAAGGAAAACCATGCCAAAAAGTAGTAAAAATTCCCACAATATCATTGCACTTATTCCATCTGCATCACACCTCTCCTTCATTCACATTGTACACGTGAAGAACATTATATGGTTACAATATAAACATGGCATCTAAAATACTGGAGTCATTCAGCTGAATGCCTGAAAATATCCAGAGAGCTGGTACATTAAAGCACGAAAACACAAACGTATAAAAGCTAAGCTCTGCTCTGACACGCGAATTGTTCTTCCTAGAATTCGTTCTTTCCGCAAGTCTAGTTCAGTCAGGAACAACTGCCTCTTTGCTCAAGGTGAACTCTCAGCTTTCTGGAAGATGGTGACAAATCTGTTTCAGCAGAACCAGGAATTTTCCTCTCCACACCACTTACACAACAGTAAAGCAGAAGGAATCTCATGACTGGACGAGTCAAAATTCCCTAACACTCTGCGTAACTGTTGCTCTTAGGAGTTTGTAAAAAAAAAAAAAAAGAGTATAAAAACTCACTCAGGTTAAAGGGTCTCAGTTCCTAAGTTTTAAATTACTTGTTTTTACCCTCCCTTTTTCAACAAATACTTAATCTGCTTATACTAAAAGGACTGGCTATTCAAGACTCCAGAGGCTCTCTGGACAGCTTCCTAGGCCTTAACCTTGCAAACACCTTCAAAGAAAGACGCCTGTCTTTAAAGTAAAAAGGAAGTCTCCCTGTCTTGCACTAAACTACTCATTGGAACCAAATTAGGCCCTTACGTTCAATTCAGTTCATTAGAAAACCCCAAACTACTCAAGTGACTCAGTGCCACCTAAAAATGGAGCACACACAGCTAAGTCATCTAGGTGCTTTAATAGGTTTTTCTCCCTTGTGCTACAGCATTCAGGCCTCTTGTTTTTATATATGATGCAAATGGCAACTAGGATAAGACAAAAGAAAAATTTGTTCAAGTGTCCTTTCTAATTAAAATAGCTAAAGCATTACTATTTTAAGTGAATACTAAATATTTTTTCATGGTAATAGGAAGTGCAAATATTGAATAAAAAGACAATATATATTCACACTGTGACCTGGTCTGGCTCTGAACTATAAGTTTTGGTCGAAAGGCAATAAATACATAAAGCTATGCATTTACTGCTGGAATAAAGACATTTCAGTTCCTGTAAATATCCTGGAATTAAAATGTGAAAATAACATTGTAACAAACTAGAATCTTGTCACCTTGATATTCTTCCTCCATCACCCTCTCAGTCACTGAAGGATTAAGTATCAGTTCTGAGTTCGTGCCATTTTGACGGTCTCCTTCACAACAGGAAAATTAGAGAGTCTCACAGACTTCTGTGCCACTTTTATAGTCCAACCGATAGACTGCAAACCCACTTAAATACATTTCCCCTTTCTTACTGTCGCTGTCACTGGCGGGTCTATCCATAGTCTATCCATGAGAAAATTCAGTAGGCTTAAATTTTGAAAAAAGAATGAATCAGGAGGTCTCGCTGTACATATGCAACAGCGGGCAATTTACACTCCTACTGTTTAAGTGCTACTGGTTAATGCAGAAAGTCAGAGAACTTCAGTAACCAATTACCTGGGATCAGAATTCTTTAGATTCAGATGCGTAAAGATCAGGGGTTTATAGCATTTGTTGAGTTGACGCTTGTTTCATATACTCAACAACTGAACCAGCAAGTTTCTGGACCTTGTTTTTAATGTTGTTTCCTTTCTTTTAAATACAGAAACTACCAAGCTGAATGTTAACCCAAAGTAAAAAATACCGTAGTCATCACTTAAAAAAACAAATTTTGTGACAAAGCATTTTTCCATGCATGTCAAAAATGCTTAATCAAACTAAATATCAGAAATAATATGCAAGAGAGGAAGTAATGTCTGAAAGCCCTTAAAACTCAGGAACACTGGATATGTTCAATAGCAACTAAAAAATAATCAGCTTTATTTCTCCAAGCTCCATCATTTAAAAATGTGATTAATTATACAGTGCAGAAATTAAAATCTCACTGCAACTCACTCAAAACACAGTATGCACTGCAAATCACCTGTATGTCATTTCAAATAAAACTGTTATCTCATCGTAGTGTGTAACAAAATTGAGCAACTTCTCAGGCTGGTACTGGGTAGATGGAACCATGCTGATGCCAAACCCTGTAGACTTTCTCTCATATGAAGAAGGACAGCCTATATAGTTAAAGGCTGTATATGTGAAGTACTGGATGCTTGTGCTAGCAGGTGATCATATTTCAGGAAAACTTTAAAAAAGAAAACCCAATGGTCTGTAGCACCTGCCTTTTCTGCATCTTCATGTTGGCTATTCCATAAGAGTGTTAGTTACGTTGGCTTCATTCTCCTTTCCAGTTGATGCTGGTGTTTAGTAAGCCGTTCTATTTCTGTTCCTAGAGTTTGAAGGTTCTCCTTTGGGGAAAAAAAAAGAATAAGATAAATAATATAGGAAAAGTGAGACAACTGGCACAAAATGCACTATTAAGTTAAAATTACTATCTGTGTCAGCAGATTGAAATTTCAAGTATGCAGAACAAATACAAACGATGAACTGGGGGTGGGGAAAACCAAGCCAATTTCAATAAAGGATGCAAAGCTCTGAACAAGTCTTATGTAGTTATTAAGATTCTAAAGGCCGTCTCTAAAAGGTATAGCACTTCAAGGGGAACAATATCTACAGGAAGATTTACAAACTTCTGCAACACTGCAGTCCAGCTGGCAGCCTGCAGAACGTTTTTCAGCCCGCAGTGTTTTCCTCACAGCAGACATGCTGCCCCAACAGCTCAAAGTGGTACCCAGCTACTGGCACAGCGCCAGGCACAAGTCGCTGATTCCCATGCTGGGAGGAAGGTATGGAAAGGGCCTTTCTCCTGATTGCGCAGGCAGCCCAAGAGTTACCGCGGAGAGCCAGCCCATCAGTTCATCATATGATGGGGCCCCAAACAGAGGTTCAGAATGGACCATGTTACAGCAGAAGTCCTCTACTTCAAGTGCTCTTTGATTAACTCAATGCTATCAACATCACCAGTTCACAATGAGCTGAAAGAACAGACAGAACACCACAGTACTCACTTTTAGTGTAATGTTCTTCAATAAAGTATCTTCTAACACAGCCTGCAACTTCCTGTTTATCTCCAAGGAGAGTTCTAATGTGAGACCGCTATCTGCGGGATGAGAGGTATACAGAGATGCCATAATGCCACCCCGCCTACTCAAGTGTACTTTGTTGAAGTCAGAGGCCTCTGAGGAAAGTGTTCCAGCTTCTTCCCGTAAAATGTAACTCTGAATAATTCTGGGGGGAAAGGGTTAAAAAAAAGACATCATAGCATTACAAGGCAATGAAAAAGCAGACAAAGTACCTTCAAACTCCTGACACATTATTATATGTAGATATATGTGTGTGTATAAATAAATATATTTATTTTCACCCTCATTATTTTCAATTACTACTGTTTTACCAGAAAGGCAATAAATTCAAATCCTAACCAACATAAAGGGAAGCTGCAACTTCCAGGACAGAGGAAACTCTCAATAACACAGATGCTATATGAGATGCTTGACAGCAGAGTAACTGCAATAGCGTGCAAGGATTACATGTTTAGAGGAACTTGAACGAGTACTAATGCTGTTGGATGAAAAAAGGTGCTTAAAAGATGCCTTTCTACCTACTCTCTGCTGAAAGGTTAAACAATGGGCTGGACAATCCTGCTTAAGTGGGGTTTAAAGTCATCCCAAAATTCAAAATACTGCGCAATTGAAGTCTGTCATATGAAGTGACACAATCTTCCAATTTAAGATCGCTTCAGTTTTCCACAGGGTCTGTCTCTCTCAGCACACAGGACAGATCTGCTCCATTAGTGTAGCAGCTACATGCCGAAATTGGAAGTGGTGCTACAAATTAAGCAAGCCATGACAGCTAGAAGGAGGACTGTAGGATGCACATGTAACCTGCACATTTAGATAGCGCGCTCAAACACGCTCAGAGATCTCATGCATGCAAGAAATGCTGCTTAGACCAACTTTTCCAGAAACGGCTATGATTACAGATCTTACTTTCCTGCCTGACTTGAGACCCTGGGGTTAGACTTGCAGCAGTACTGATAGTTCTCAGTAGCAACTGAGGTAAACAGCATTAAACCCTGAAGGCTTTCGGGGCAAGATAATTGGGGAGCAATATTTAGCTTTTTTATTTTTAAGCCTGGACCCAGAGCTAAAATCATCTGTTACTGAACAGTTATTGAAGCAACACTCTCCATCCAGCTCATAGCTACTTCAATGAAAGTTAAGTTGATAATAATAAAATTATACCAACAACTTCTAAAGAAAACAAGTCCTGAATATCATACAGCCTCTTATGAGCATCTGATATCAAACAAGTAAAAACACCAGACAAAGTTATGTAAAGAGTATCAAAACCGGTGCTTTGATTATATGTAATTTAAATTATTTTGCCTCTTTCTTATTATAGTGTTTATAGACTCCAGACATGGATTCAAGGCCTTAAGATTTCTGAAGATGAAATAAATACAGAGGCTCTGCTTAAGAGCCTTCACAAGCTGTATTCCTGTCCCTTGAAATGGTACCATATGAGCATAAGCGTACAGGTATGTTAACAAAGGGCTGTACTTAACAGTCAACAACACTTTTCAGAAGAAGGTATATGCCACAATTTCTTCCTCTCCCTGTGTTCCAGACATCACATTCTGACAGTAGGTTTCCACGCAAGTGGAATCTTGTATCACATGTTAAATAGAGACAAAGCTTTGGTTCAGATATATTATATGTTTGGCATGCATGCCAGACTAATCTGGAATTATGTAGACTCTCGTTCTAAAACAAATACTTACAATCAGTACTCTTTTGAACACAGAGACTGCACTCGTTAGTCAGTGGCAATGATCCACCACAAATCAGCAACCAGGCGACCATTTTGCTACCAAAAAACTTGCAGCATTCCATTCCGCCTGACAAATTTAGCGGTAATGAACCCAAGATATAGATAGGAAGCTAACAACTTAGACAGCAATTACATAACAGCTAGGAAAAGATAAGGGGAAAAATCCAAGATTAACTATACCTTTGAGATCTACTGTCACTGAAATAATGTCTTAACTATTTTCATTCAGACAATTACTTGTCGTAAATAAAATCCAGAACACTTCTGTCCAATACAGCAGCTAAAAACTGAGAAACCATAGAATTAAACAAGACATACTTAGTTTTTTTCCTGATTTCCTCCACTAGTTGTTTAATGTGATCCTCCATGAACTCCATCTTTTCATTTTTTCGAGCATGTGCCTTCTGTAGTCTTACTATTCTTTCAATCAAGACAGACTTGTCCACTTCCGGGAAGCTATCTACAGCTACTGAAGATCCAGTATTCTCAGGCGACCGATCCTCATTGCTGCTGCGAGCATTAAGGGAACCTGCCGATATATTTGCATTTGTAAAGCTCTTCTTACTTTTACACCACGTAGAATGTCTCCCACTAGTGCGCTACATTCTCAGTAGTTTAGGATAGACAAAATATTTTCTTCAAAAACATCAGTCTCACTTAGATGCTAATGAGTTTCTACAGAAGCAATATTGATAGCATTTTAATCCTAAATGCTGAAACAGCAGTATAGCCCCCAGTACAAACATACTTCCACTAGTGTAACTGTGCTTACACCAATAACGCTTATTCTTACCTAAGTACCTTCATATTAACATTACTTTATACAAGACTGAGCTGACTTTAAACAGATCAGTTTTAGAGTCCACTAAATTTACAAACACATGAAAACTGTATACAGACTGGCAAAAGCCCTATGCATAAATACTCTGCAGCGTTCATCACTTAGAAGGGAGAAGAACAGAGAGCAAAGCAAGTATTTCAAGCTCAATCTCTCTTACACAGTGAGATTACAGGTTCCTTGAACAGGATTAAACAAATTTAAAAAACTCAAACATATTGAGGAAGAAAACAGATGATGTTTTCAGTGCTGAAGACACTTTTACCTAGTTAGAAGTAAAAAAGCGCTAACAAATTTTACACAAATATCAGACTGCCTCTAAATACGCTAATTGAACTACCATTTACACAGTGGCAACTGTCAATAGCGCAATTAAAAAAACGTTGGAAGCAGCTGTTAATTTTTGTTTTGCCTCTGGCTGCACTTAAGAGGGTCTTCTATTCATTAGACTCCTCTGAGCTTCCTCCAAACATAAAAGCAACAAAAAGGCAGTCCTTTAGGAACCCTTCCCCCACCGCCCCCCCTCACAAAAACACTTTAATCTTGCAGTAAGAATAAGCATCTACAATTGCACTCAAGAGCCAACTGCATTTTAGTGCTTAAAGGCTATTTTGTCAACTTTAGCGAGAGACTGCCCACACACTACATGTGTGCAAGTCATAGAAAGAGCAAGGCTCATAGCAGCACACCATGGCAACTTTAAGAGCAAAAGATGGTTTTGTCAGCCCTATTTGCTGTATTACCTGATGAACTGGAACGGCTCCCCATGCTGCTGACTTCTTTGTCATAATTACCATTTTCCATCTGATCCAATTTCTTCCGTGCTGAACATGTAATAAAATGATGGTTATCAACAGAAGACTAAAGAAAAAGAACTGTACCGTCACACAGCATAAATTATTGCAGGCCGTAAAGGTTAAGTGTTTGACAACTGAAAGATAACGTCAGCAACTAAAACCTCAAGAAAAAGAAATAATGAACAGTCCCCCTTCCCTCCCCACCCCCAACCATGAAGTAGCTGGATGCAACATCCACCAAGAATCCTATGCCCTGCTGCCGTCTCCAACTGAAGAGGTAATGCGCTTCACAGGGCTGACTAGGAACAGTAAGCCATAAATCTGATTTTACTTTTGATTAGGACCGCTACCTAAATAACTAATGACTGACTGAACAGGAGCTCTGTTCTGGGATCTCATGACTACCATCGTTATTGGGAGCCGAGTAGCTCAGTAGCCCAGAAGAACTGTTCATTCAGTCTAAGAGTCAAGAAAGAATATGAACAGCTGTACACTTATATACAAAAAGGGATATAGAACTACTTCTTGCACAATGCAGACACAAAAACAGGTATTCTTTCAACAACGAACAGATTTGATTACATTCAAATCAGCACGCATTCAGAGTATAGGCACTCCTGGGTATTTAATGATTTCCGTTTGCTGATAGAATAAAATTAGTCATCAGTCCCTCCACACCAATCATTAATAGCTAGTGTGTTCTGTTTAACACACTAAATAATTATCATCACCTGTAATTCCTGACACAGACAGCAGTTCGGAAACGGTAAACAAATTCTGAATGTATTCCTACACAGACCAGGATCCTTATATACCCAGGAACAGTGACACTTCAGTAGTCACATACAGGATAAGAAGGAATATGCTACTTTGAAATATATCTTTCATTTCAAAAGTTATAGCTGAGACTGACTCTAAGGCCTTTTTACTGTAACTGCAGTTTCCCCACTTGTAAGATTCAGCTTGCCCACTCACTATTATTTTCTTTAGGGTCATGGAGAGCTTGCGCGAGCTGCACCCAAGGAGCGCATGAACACAGACAAGACCACAGTCTCTAACAGGCTGTGTGAAGGAGTTTACAAACTGGGCTGATTTATTATATCTGAAAATAATTTCAACCTAGCTGAAGTTGTTTGGTGAGATCTTTCAGATTTGCTGCATGTTTGCGCTTCTGGGTAGCTAGTTCGTCTTTCAGTTCATCCACATGGGTCTTCCTCAATGTTAGTTCTTTCTGCTCTGAAGCCAGCTGAGCCTGTAGTGTCTCAACCTCTAGCTTTCGCAGGTCCTCCTCCTTCTGCAGCTTGGTGGCCTGAAATTGATTTTTTTCTTTTAAATCATATACAAAAAAGAAATTTACAGCTTATCTGTAGGCTCAACAGCTCTGACCCCACACTTCACTTTTTAGTTGAGAATCTCTCACATTTTATATTTAATTAGGCTGATCACTGCCACTGTGAATGAGTTTGCAGCACAATGCAAATCTGCAGTAAGAGATTCCTGAACTACCTCCAAAACATGTGTGACACAGCACAGTGCCATGCAGAGCTGTACTGTGGAAGTCACATTAACTTTTGTGACATACCAAGCTTATTAAACGTGACATTTATCTACTTCATGATCACACTACAAGCATGACCTAAGTAACAGCTTGCAGTGATAAGTTTCCTGCACAAATTAAAACCTTTAGACTGTTTCAATGGCAGCACAGAGAACAACTCGGTCCTCCCAAAAAGGCAGAAATAGCAGCTCAGTAACACCCACCATTCCAGTGCAGGAAATCCAATGCCTTGGATTTCCTTCCCCCATGAAAACACCACGTGTTCACATCCCATTGCCATTATATCAGAGCGGCAAACTCAAGTCACTACAGTGGTCACCTGCAAGCCACTGAAGTATGAACAAACAGCAGCCTCAGTCTGCTCCGAGCTTAGGCTTGCTCTGTTGCAAGCACACACTAACGAGTAGTGTGTGTATTTGAAAGGCTGAGAAAGAAGAAAGTAGCACAGAGACAGATTCCAGAAAGCATGAGAAAATTGTCCCCGCATCTAAAAGTGAGTTCGTTCACACTGAAGCCAAGCTATGGCACTTCTAAGGCTCCTACCACGTATTCACAGGTTTGCTGAAGCACAATAGCTTGACTTGCCACAGGCTAACCACTCAGACCAAATGGTCAGGAATAAAAGCCAGACAATCAGTGTAAGCTTTATTTAAATCCTTCAGGAAAGCCTAAGATTCTGCCTTCACTTGGGGTGGGGTTCTGGTACCTAAACACACCTAGTGCCATTCAAGAAGCTCTGGAGCACCCTGCCTGGATTCCAGGAGGACAAGGATCTCTTGCAGACCCTGTGCTATATAGCAGCCTGTTCCACACATCTCCAAAACCCAGGGGTGTCAAAACCAGCATTAGAGCACTACGTTTAGATAAGCAGGGACACAAGGTGGGATTCATGTCCCATATCTTTGTTAGTATCAGACATCTTACTAGTGCAAAAACAAGCTGTATGCTGTACTCACCAAATCACCCTTAGTCTGTCGAACACGTTCCAACTGATTCTGCAGCTCTCTTTCGCTGTAAGAGAGCTTATCCAACTGGCTCTGTAAGGAATTGTTTTCAGACTGAAGCTGGGCATTCTTACTGGTTAATTTTTCAGTGAATATCAATAGCTCAGACTCTCTTTTCCGACTACCTTCAATGTCCTTTTGGAGATCAGCAATTAGAGAATTGAGACCCTCTACTTCTTCCTTTAAAGCACTTATGTCTTGTTCATCTCTGTCAAAACAATTGCATCTCATTAGTGGCAACCTGAGTTTAAAAACATCAAATACAAAACACTTACAAAATAAGAGCATTCAGGTCCAGCTCAAGTAAGGCAAATGAACTATTAATGATCCTAGGCAATATGACAGTCACTGGATGGCTTTAAATGCCAAGTGATTTTGCAGATTCTATTTCAAGACATATTGTCATGCCAAAGTGACAAAGAGGTCCTGCACCCCACAGAAGGGCATGCAGCCATCAGCTTCCTCCAGGAAGACTACCTTTCAGCACTCAGCTTCATGAGCCTCTGTACAAGGTCTAAACAAAACCTTCAGAAACAGATACTGCAAACAGGAGGGAGGCTTGCAAATCCAAAACAGGTAGTCATTTTGGAAGACGACTTCTTATCTTGAACAGATGGGGGAATACGCCAGTGTTGAGCTTCTTCAGGACAGTAGTATGGTGACTTCTGAAACATCCTGATCCAAGCTGTGCAGCTCTGACTCAAAGGAACTTTCTTATTCCATTCTTCCTTCTCCTACACTCTACAAAACCAGTTCTTGTTTCTACTGAACTATTCCCAAGGGGAGACTTTAAATATATCACTTGCAATCTATGTGAGAGAGGCAGAATGCCATAGCTTCAGTTAAGATCAACTTTTAGAGGAAGTGACTGAAATTAATTATGAAACTCAATAGCTGTTAAATTTTTGTTGTTGTTGTTGTTTTTTTTTTAAAAACACAAATAGACTTAAAAGGTCCTCACCTCTTCTTGCAATATGATTTCACTAGTTCTTCAATCATAGGATTTTCTACCCCTTTTAAAAATCTTATCTTCTGACTTCAGGGTAAAAGTCCTCCATTTCTGACAAGCAGTGTATGCATTCAAATTCAAAAACAAAATAAAAGGTACAGAAACCAAGCTCACAGATCTCATTTAATTCCTTGGCAGACAGCGCAATTACTAAGAGGCTCAATTCACTTTAAACAAGCAACCCCATATCAACATGTTTCTTCAAGTACAGATGAGCTCAGACAATCCAAATATTGTAGTTCATTTTCAAAATTATTAATTTTGCTGAATATATATTCGGCTGAATATAGCTGAATGTTACTAGATCTCCATTACTATAGATTACACTCTTCCAGCTACCAAAATGAGGAGCTCATGAAGTTAATATAATGACAATAGAAGTATTGTTAGCCTTTCACTCCAAAGGACATGAAATATATTACATCCTATCTTTACAGTCTCTAGGGTAACTCCATCCCTCAGGAGACAAAAGGCTGAACAACTACAGCAGGTGTGCATTTTTCAGCTATTTATGCTGCCAAAAATCTCCTCTATAGCTCCCATTCAAAACCTACGTCATAACCTACATCACGTTTCCAAATATGTTGTTTCATTACAACACAAGAAGTTTCTAGTTAACAGTCAGGGCCGGACCGGACAGCAGGACACAATTAAACACTTAGACCACCCTGGAAGATATCTCTAGCTTGTCCTTAAAATTCTCCAAAGAAGGAGAGCCGGCAATCACTGAAGGTAATCAGTATCTAGGTCAACAGCCATAAAGTGCTTCCTAGCATTCAACTTATCATCATTTTTCCTACAAAACTCTTATTTATTTCTATCCTTCCTCATGTGTGCAAAGATAGCAGAACATCCCCTTTTTAAACAGTGTTTTATGCATTTAAGGATGTCTCACTTCTGTCTTCTTGCTAGACTGAAGCAACTTGCTTCCTTTACCTTTTTCTCACTGAGAAAACATAATAGTTTGCTTGAATTAAGATAAAATTCCTTCCATTTACTTCAAGAAAATGAAAGGCAGTAGGTTTGTTTATTGTAAACAAAAATAACAGGGGTCAAGATTCTAGGATTTCTGTTTCATAGGTGATAACAGGAACTTACTGATTCAAGTTTTAACTCTCAGTTTGAGATTCCACAACTTTATCAAACATTCTAGGGAGTATCAAAAACATGTTCAAGCCATTCTGAAAGAGAAATAAAAGACTATACAAAACCTGACATGAGGACAATAAATGTCGCATGGAAAAGAAATTTAAAGAATACTTTTGATTCAAGTTTTATAAGACTAGAAGAGAGACGGACATTTTAGCACGTCTCTGCTATTGTTGAGCCGAAAAGATAACTGGAAAACACACGAAGTTTTAATTCATTTGGCAAGATCCCAAGCAAAAAACAAAAACAAAAATAAGAAAAAAAAACAAAAACACACACACACACACACACACTATTCATCAGGGTGTAAGCTTCAGTTTTCTTTATAAATGGCCGCAGCTTCCCTAAGACGACTTATGACAGCGCCAGTGCAGCTGACCAGCACACAGCAAACGGAAGACACTTCATTCTCTAAACTCTGAGGAAGGCACATACTTGCGGAAATATTTTTCAATAACAAATAACTATTTAAAAGCACAGGAGATAGATGCAGGTGGTATCGTTAGAACCTGGCAACACTGAATTAGTGAAGAGGACAGCATTTTTTTATACTCCACTTCACATGTACCATATGGAAACAAAACAATGTTCAGAAATTCCAAAGCGTTTGTGAACCGAACTGTCCTCCCAGAAAACTTTATTTCCTTCCTTTACTTCCCTCACATTCTTAAATGAGGAAACTTCGATACAGCAGAACCAGTGCTAGTCCATTAGAAATACAAGTGCTCCTAACATTAACTGACTCTCTGAATACAACAGTGGCCAAAGATACCAAGCTGTTTTTGTTAAATACTTAATTAATCCACCATAATTAAAGAGAACTGCTTTTCCAGTTCAGTTGTTTTCCCCCAGTCTTTCAATAACATGAGCACTGAGCGGAATCCTAGAAAATGTAACTTCCCATAGAGCATGCTGGAAAGCAAGCACTTCTTATGCTGATTATGAAAAATAAAAAATTAGATTTACCAATCTCAATCCACTTGACTTACTTATAAAAGGCCAAAGTTATCTCCAATATTGGATTAGATTAGAAGATACTTAAATCAGAATATGGACTTTCCAAATCAGAATATATTTTAAAGTATCAATAATTTCAATACAGAAAAACCATTAACGACAAGAAAAGTACTTAGTTTTACCTCTGATGTTGATCCTGCAGACAGTCTACAATTTTGACTCTGTCCAGCAAATTCTGAATTTCAGTTTTCTGTCTGTTAATGATTTCTTTATACTTGGATAATTCATCTTCTGTTCTCAAACGTTCATCCTCTAAACACTTTACCTAAGTAGAAAATGAGAAACTACTTATTCTGTCAAACTTCAGAACTCAATTATTTTGATCAAAATTTTTCATTTACCAAAGTTATGAAAACTACTAGGTGTTTACTAAAATGTTCCAAAAAGTTTGCAGTCAAATGAGGTGCATACCACAAAGCAAAAGCACTGTGTTATGGATCAACCGATACTCCCTAAGAAAGGCTGCCCAGAGTCACAGTTATGTATCCTTCTGGTCTCATGCCAGCCAGTTTCCTTGCCACATGGCTTATTTAAAAAGTAGTAAAAACATAACAAACAGATTTAATTTAGTCTCATTCAAAAATCCAACATAGCGCCTTAGCTCTACAGCAACCCAGAACGTTACCTTCGTTCTTAGCGTTCGAAGTTCATCCATGCCCTCTTTAAACGTTCTCTTCAGGTCTTCCAGTTCTTTTATTTTTGCATGATGCACCTTTTTAAAGAGCGAGAAACTGCTTGAGAGATCTAAACAGACACTGGCATCCCCGGGATGTCAAAAGAATTTACGCCTATACAGGCCAGTGTAACAGCTGAGAGGGCTTGAGGCAAGACAAGTACCCTAAAGGTTTGTTTGTTTTTAATAAGCAAAACAAAACAAAGCATAAAAGCTTTTTATTCTCAGAAGAACATAGAGCAAAAATGAGATTATGCACCCTGGTTTTAGTTGTACAAATCTACATCACAACAGCCTCAGGGGTAAGTTCTAGGCAAACTGACCCTGGGTTAACTCTGAAGGTGATTTACACAGATGAGAGCTGTTAGCAGATGCAGCATGCAAAGCAAGGACTGAATCATTACAAAATCTAGTTTTGGGGTCAGCAAACCTCTAAAGTGAATGAGAGAACAGAGGCTGTTCCCTGTCTCCCCCTCGTCATACAGCTTGGAAAAAATACCAGATGGAAAAAGACCATCCTGCCTATCAGCTGAATTTGTGTTCTAAATCGTATCACTATTAAAATTTATAAAATGAAAGAGCAGTTTTGTCCTTGTAACATCCTCCTTTTTTCTATAAGTTTGTTCTTAGAGGTAGATCCAGTGTAATATCTAAAAATATCTTCCAAAAGTCACGGCTAGAGGCAGACATCTGGGATGTAGAATTAAGCCAAAATCATCTGAAGACATCTAAAGATAGGTAAAGATATCACCACATATTTACCTCCAGGTGGTCAGACTTCTCCTGCATCTGTTTCTCTAGTTCTCCTTTTGTTGTTCGCAGCTTTGCATCCAATTCATTTGATTTCATTTCTTCTGACTCCTAAAAGGACAGAAGATATCTAAGAGCAGTTTTGGAGTTTTATGTTCCCCTTTCCTGTTTTAGGAGCATGCACACAATATTGCGCATCAGTGAAGCTCTTTCCAATAGGTATGCCTCTAATAACTCTGACCCCACTGCATCCCAATAAAGATGAACATCTTCCCTCTTACTTATAGACTTTCCAAGTAAGGAAATCTGTGACTGGTCATCTCAGCTCTGCAGCTTGCACAGGGTAATTCTTCCCTACTGCAGTTTAAGGTAGAAGGGGGAGAGGGAGACACCTGATGCTAAACATTAGTTTCACTTCCTGAGAAAATGTGCCTACTTGATAGGTTTTTATCATTTCTTGACAGTTTTTCCTTATCTGGTCTGCTTCTTCTTTTGCTTGAGTTAATTTTGTTGTTGCATCTTTGAGGCGATCCTTGGTTTCCTAAAAAACACACCAACCAACCACAAATAGGAATGAATGATCAGTTACACCTACTAATTCAGCCTAATTTGGGTAAAAGCACTTCTCATAACAGAGGTTTCCTATTTCAGTTTGAAACAAATCAACAGCAAAACACCTACATCCAGTATTCTTTCCCCGCTCCTTGCTTCCATTCAACAATTACTTAATGTAATTTTGTTTGTTCCAACACTGAAAACGCAAAAGGACCTGTTGGTTATGTGCTGTGCACATTTTCAGATTGAGTTAGATCTACTGTACCAGGAACTAAGTTAAAAGTTGATCACC